TGAATTCAATTCGTTAGTATTATTTCCATATTAGATTTGTTTATTCGATTTATAACACAGTGATCTAGTATTATTTACTGGACGTTTCAAGCGTAAATTATTGTTTATAATCATATCATTAGTATTACAAATTCACATGTTTATTTAATCTTCGTAAATATGAACTAATCAGTTATGATTTAGGTGAGTATTATTACATTTTAAAGAAACCAGCAATGAGATTAGGAGCGTACATTTTGTTCAACTTACATCTACCATGTATATAAAATAAATGTATGAGAAAAGTTTATGGTAGCATGTGTTTTAAAAGAAAATATATGGAATTCTTGACCTTAAATACGTGCATTGGATATTGCCGTATGGCGTAAGATATTTCGTGAATGTAAGTCGCTTCGTTTGTTACAGAGGAGAAACTTTGCAAATCTACATTCTTCCAATATGAAGCATGTTACGCTCGTGTGATCTTAAAATGGTGGAGAGTATTTGTAGCTCAGGTGGATGGTCTTGGTTGTATTGTGTCCTCTAGGCTGGGTTGTTTAGTCGTGAAGCTTTCATCGTCTTTCTAGACGACTTCATCACCACTAACTTCAGTATGATGTGAGCTGTCAATATCTCTCTGTGAATGATTTAGTAGGTTGCCCCGACGAACTGGTTTGTGATTGGTTGTTTCCATCGATTGTTGTGTCCATTGACTGTACAGATTTCCCTGTTGGCTGTTTCTCTGCTTGACCTCTGACGTTTCTGTCGTTTATCACTTTTCTCAGTAGTTGATAGTTTGGGTGTGACTTTTGGTAATTTGATAGGATGTCCGTATGATTGTCAAAGACGTTTCACTTCTCTCTAGAGTTCTCTTGATTTGTTGTATTTTGGGGTTCCTGGAAGTGAGACTATTGGTCGTAGACGAATGTTTGGTTTATGTAGTTTTGGTCTGCCGTAGAACCGAGGAAGGGCAGGTCCACTCGATTTCATTCACCATTTGTCTTGCTTTGTTATTTATTCTGCTTTGAAGAGTTTGTTCAAGATTTTATTGATCTGGTCGTCGATTTTTTGAATAAGGTTGGTTTTAAGTGGCTGATATACATTTCGTCTTTGAGTAAATCCTATACCTTCTTGTTGTAGTCTTCTTTGTCCATGACTACTATAGTGCGTCTTTTGTCTACCGGAGGTATAACGATATCTTTCCTTTTTTTCAGTCTTTTTTAATGTTTTCTGTTCTTCAGTGTTCAATTGAGCGTGATATCTCTTCTGCTTGGTCAGTGGTACGATTGTTTGCCGTATTTCTTGTTGAGTGACCTCATTTAATCCTGATGTTTCAAGTGATGATTCTAATGCCGCTAAAAATTCTGGTTTGGAGGCATCTCTTGTGTTATAATTTAATCCTTTTTGAAGAAGGTTTTTCGATTTTTGTTAGTATTTGTTTTGGTAAGTTGGCAACACAGTCGTTTATTTCCTCGGTTGTAGATGATTCTGAGATTTTAAGCATTTTTTTCCAGAGGACTTTTCTTCGTTGCTCTTTGTATCGTTTGCTCGATTTTTCAGTTGCTGTTGTTAACGTCTTGCGTTGTGTCGTGAGCATGCTTTCTAGTTTTCTCTTTTAATTGCTAATCACTAATTGGTATTTCCGGATCCAGTTATGTGCCCAAACGAGACATCTCTTTACGACCAATAGTCTCACTTCCGGGAACTTTAACATACAACATATCAAGAGAACTTTCGAGAAAACTGTAACACCTCGTTCAGTCATGCGGACATTCCATCAAATCACCAACAGAATTCTTAGAAAAAATCAAAAGCAATAATACAGAAAACGACAAATCAATGATGTCCTTCGGTGCCACAGGACTATACACATCCATCGAACCCCAATTGGTCCCTCCTGCTCAATGAAAACACAAACCTTTCGGAACGCACAAAACTTAAAAGTTCAATTCTGATGGAACTCATCGACCTTTGTCTGATAACATACTTCCAATTTAATGGCAAGATATACAAACAGATGAAAGGAACCCTTAGGGAATCGCCGATATCCCAACTAATTGCAAAAGCAGTGATGCAGAGAGTGGAAGCCATCATTCTACCTGTGATCCAACCGAAAAATTGGATTTGCTACATGGACGACACTTTTGTCATCATTAAAAAAAAAGATATAGAAAACACTCAGAGTTTGATCAACAACGTTTTCAATGACATCAAATTCACAATGGAGAAGAAGTCAAACTACCAACCTCCATTCCTGAATGTTTTAGTCAGTAGGACAAATGCCGGAAAGCTGGAAACTCAAGTGTGCATGAAGCCAACACACACTGACCGAGCCCTCAACTACAGTAGCAACAACCTAACAACACACAAAATTAGTTGCGTGCAAACTCTATTCAAAAGAGCGAGAACACACTGCTGTGCAACGTCACGGAGAAACGAAGGAAATTATTTGATGTCTATCCTAAAGAAGAACGGCTACCCGTGAAACCTTATGAGAATATGCCTATCCCGTACTACAGCAACTACAGTCATCTACAGAAGTCAACAGACGCATCATCCTGCCATACATAAAGAATATATCAGAAATCACGACAAGATTACTGAGACCACTTGGAATTGGTGCGGCCTATAAACCAACAAGTTCCCTGCAAACTCTATTATGCAAACCAAAGGATGCAACAACCAAAGAGGATAAACCGAATATCATTAACAAAATCAACTGCAATCACTGTAGCCAACACCACATTGGACAAAGTGGTCACCCTCTTCGCCTTCGTCGTCTACACCAACATCAATTGGCTATTGAACATCACACACGACATTTCATCACTCATTTCAGTGCACGTGGATAATTATGGACATGAATTCATTTTTGACAATGTAGAAAGTTTGAACATAGGGAACACAAAGAATATCAGAGAATTCCTAGAAGCTTGATATTCAGGTCAGTCACCAATGCATAGACGTATGGACACAGGCAAAAACTATCAACTACTGAGAAAAGTGATAAACGACAGAAACGTCAGAGGTCAAGCAGAGAAACAGCCAACAGGGAAATCTGTACAGTCAATGGACACAACAATCGATGGAAACAACCAATCACAAACCAGTTCGTCGGGGCAACCTACTAAATCATTCACAGAGAGATATTGACAGCTCACATCATACTGAAGTTAGTGGTGATGAAGTCGTCTAGAAAGACGATGAAAGCTTCACGACTAAACAACCCAGCCCAGAGGACCCAATGAAGCCAATACCTTCTTCCATTTGCGACAAAGCATGATTGAGTAATACATTTTAGTCGGTTCTCGACTAGGATTGAAAACGAAATAAACAGATCACTGCATAAAGCTGTTGCGTATGGTTTCTTGTAAGAAGTTGTTAGTCTCTAGCGGTGTGAACTGATATTTCGTTTAGACACTTTGGAAAGTACCCTGCTATTGAAATCTCAATAATCTAAAATGTTTGATATCCCACCTTATAAAAAGGTAAATAAATTCAATCAATCATACAGAATGAAAATATTCTTAAAGTGACTTAAGGCACAGCGTGCTTACTATTTTCTTGATAAAAGTATACAATTTTCTTCACACTGCGACCTGACCGATGACGACTAACTTGATGTGGTGTTTGGGTTCGCAAATCACACTGACCAGCGAGAAATACTTATGAGCACAGTTTTATTATTATTATTATTTGTCCCTTAGGTTCCCTGTGGAACATAGGGCTTCAGTAGCACGTCTCCATTTCACTCTTTTCTCTGCCTAAATACTACCTACATTAATGTTTAACTTCATACAGGAAACGTTGTATGACCAGTAGATTGTACATATTTTCCTTACGCAGCTGAAATGGCAAGAGTATAGAATATGATATTTGTATTTGAAGTGAGTTTGACTTCAGTTAATGCATCGAAGCATTCAACTATTCACATAAAACATTTCAAATTCAAAACAAGCGCGCCTTATTAACATAACTATTTTCACTAGGCAGTTGTAAAAAGATATAGTGTTTCCACTGGATTGATTGGTTGGTTAAAGAAACTTACGATATTACAAACCAAATACACCGTCATCATCATACGGAGATTGTGGTGTCACTTTGCTTTTTTTAGCATAAATGCTATCAACTAGAATGAGCATATATGAAAAAGGTATATTATGTATATTTATATCATTAGTTGGATAACAAAGACTCATTATTTACATTACGTGATTTGTGCACTTTATGTATATCACGTGCTTATCACTTTAAAGTCATTTCTTTTTTTTGCACGAAAAATAACTTTCAACTTGTTGTAAATTTTGGTAAGAAGTTATCATTTATGTTAAGTTGCCTAATTAAGAGAGTTAATACAAAAAGAATATGATGATTATGTCGTAAAATATATATGGTTGTGCAAAAGTAACTGAATGAATGGCTCGTATTTGAATGATGTATGGAAGGAAATATACTTACAAATATCTATCATTCTTGTAAAAACACTTCGATGATGAAGCGATGATTTAAGGTAGATAGAAAACCTAGTTCTTGGTAGGATTCCAAACAACTGCGTATTAGTTACCGATGTGATTATCTGCCTATTTAACTTTAAGCTGGAATTAATGTCCATTCCTTACTGCCACTTTATTCATTGAGACTTCCACTCGATTGTCACGTTAATTATTTGTATAAAATTATCCCATGTTACGCAAAGACATATCATGTAAAGTAAAGCTTGAATGGCTATGTGTGACGTGTTCCGTAACCAGTGTCTGTAAATTTTAATGCTTACACACATATTGCATTAATTATAATAAACAGGCCGTTGCGTCTTAAATAAATAGTTATATTATCGTTTCATCTAAGTCAACTATTTACTTTTAACCATAAAGTAAGACATGTAATTAATGTGCATGTGAGATAGTATTCCTAATTCCACTTCTGAATTTATGGTTTTGTATCATCGATAACAATATCTAATAACTTATCACGAGTTATACATTTTCAAATTTTTACTTAATTTATTTTACCATCACAAGGGACGTCTAACTGATGGACGTGGTGCAACAATTAATTGTAAAGATGCTATATTCATTATGACATCGAATGTTGGAAGTCAAGTGATAGCGGAACATGCACAATCTCTGCGTCATATTTCTGGAAATGATGGTTGGTTGATATTGATTTTTATTAATATTTTACTGTTATCATTATAACTGATACTGACAGTCTATCCTTTAGCTTTTCATTGATGTAGAATATATTACAAGTGTGATCAATTGTGAAAGGTCACCCATCATATGGTTTAGAGCAGCTTCTATTCTCTTCTGCGTTGTTATTTTCGATTTCTTTGCCAAGTTTTTAAAATTTTCTTGTTTGTAAACTGATTAAAACTGATATATTATGTGATGTATGCCGGTAAGCTTTCTGATGGTTGCGGTTGAGTGCACAATAATAATGATAAATAGTAATGGAATAGGGTAGATATTGGATGCTAGCAAGTTTTTTTTCTGGTCATGGGGTTTCAATAACTGCTTTTTTTGTTCAGTGCAGCAGTAGTGGTGATATTCACATCAGATAGTGATCGCAGTACACAGTGAAATCGATTATGATTTAGTGGCTGACTTTATTAGCATAAGTAACGAAATAATTATCATTGCACAATTTCAAACAGTTATGACAAGTACTAAAAACGAAGGACTGTTTTTCCCAAAATTATACTGTTTTTTTTGAATCAAAACGTAAGTTTTTAACACTTTCGAGTTCAGTAAAACTGATGTACGTTGAAAGTTCACTTGACTTCAACTTTCAGAGAAGAACACAAGACTGTTAGGTTGTACAACCAGTCATAGCAATATCATCAATTGATGTAGACATCTCTTGCTTCCTTTTTAGGGTTATATCTCATTATTTTAATAAAGAGGAGTGCTGATACATGCATTCTATTGCTACTTGAAACTTCAGCCTACTTTTTAAGCATATAATTGGCAACTCAGTGGTTTAGTTATCTAGTCTGTGTAATAATCTAAATCCTGCTTCGCCACCAAAAAACTGGGCGGTAGTAATGAATGTCTCAACAGATGTAGCTTATCGTATAAGGTGTATTTTACCCATATAAATAACTCCAGAGTAGTATATTAGAATAAATAACAAAATAAAGTAGTATTGTGTATTATTCCTCAGCTTTTCGATCCTATGAGGAAGAGTATGAATCTCCTCCTTTACTACACAAGTCTAGCTTATAGCCATTTATACTGGGCGACGACTGAAGGTGAAATTAAAATTTAGACTGCGGCCGGATTCGAACCAGTGACTACCAGGTTTCCGGCCATTTGTTTGTGAGTTAGATTCACGTTCTGCCTACCAGTGCTTGGACAACCATATGCTTGCTTATCAATCTTTTCAGTGTAAGTATAAAGAATTCATTTTATTTTATTATTCTCCCGGAGTTTATCAATAATCTCTTGTTTTTCTATGCATAGTATTATATAACAGCTTCCAGTTATTGCACGAAGTAAATGTTCTGCATTGATTGAATAGGCTAGTCAATACTACATGTTATCTGAAGCCAACTTGTTCATCAGTGTTTTAGAGGACTGGGAAACTATTTGTTGTAGTAGCGAGTAGCTGACAAAAATTCAAATGTTCTCTAAACGTTGATCTCAGACAAGTCATCAGCACACACCTACGTCCCTTCCAGAGATCGAACCGTGGTCTAGCGTTCTCAGGTTACCACTGATTCTCCAACTGATGTTAACCTGTGAAGAATACTACATTGCTATATATATATATATATATATATATATATATATATATATATATATATATATATATGTATAATCTCCACTTATTATTTGATCTTGTTCTTGCATTTCTTTTCCTCGTTCAGAAGCTGAAATTGAGATTTCTCGAGACTTCAAGGAGAAAGTCATGCGTCCAATTTTAAGAGTAAGTGAATGAATTGAAAAAATGGCGTTAATTTCAGTCTTCAGGGTACATTTTCTTCTTATCTATGGCTATTAAATTTGTTTATGTTATCGTAAATGTAATTTTTCCAATAACGTTGGACTGGGCGAGAATACAAATGACTTCGCTGCATTATAATAGTAGTTTCTCATCAACTTCAAACAGCTGAGAATCACAAGTAGGTTCTTATCTGCTCCGATTCCCTCATATAATTATGTGAAGATTGAGATCAAAGTTTAAAACTTAGGTATAGTGAATTAAAAAAATATGAAAAATAAAACGAAAATCCTAATATCTTTGTGGTTGAAAGAGAAAGTCCAAGATTGTCAGTTTGTCGGATTGAGAAGTGGGTCGCCGAATGTTTATGGGATTAGACAAGCATTAGATTATTAGGAAATATTAAAGTGAAGTAAATCGGTGCTTCATAATCAACAGCCGCCATCGTCATCTTGAGTACTGATCGCGTTGTGAGTGCGGTTGACACTTCCTGGCTGCCCTTACCGTGAAAGGCTGTTTCTTATTAAGGTACCTGAAAGAGATTTGTGTGACCGCAGAGCTCATCGAACATCTGCTTGAGGCCTGTCACACGAAGCCTTTTGCGTATGATTATTTTGAACTTTTGTATTTTTGGGGCCGGGTGGTCGAAAGGAAACGACAAATGGACCAACACCACCGGCCCGGCAGACCGTGGGGCATGGTGGAGTGTGTCATTTTTGGGGCCGACCTTTTCTAAGACGCCCCCCCTTTCACTGAGAAGGCAGCATCAGCATGGGACTGCTGATCATCCAAGGGAAACACCATCCTGCTGTCACACCCCATCCAGCTAGCAGCAGTACGACTTCGCCCTCAGACCCTCCATCATAGTGTAATAATTTACATCACAACGGTAACTGCTTTTCATCTAACCACTATCCAATAAACCTTTCTGGTATGGTAAGATCTCGAGGGAACAAGTGTTCCACCAGCACAGCTCGTTGGTTCATTGTGATATGCAAGCCCAACCACTACGTCAAGGTAGCAGTTATCGGTCTCCAAATTTAATGCAATTAACACCAAGTAAACGACAGGTTAATCGCACCTTAGTTCTTTGTGCAGTTGGATCATCCTTGATTGCAAAGTTTTTCATAAAGTCGTATGGATATTGGCTCTGTCATTCATCCACGATGCTGAAAAATAATCTGGTGCCTGTTTACAGAGTCGTTCTTATCAGATATCTGGTTATTACATATTCAGAAAACTTATTTAGTGCTCTTCCATCAGTTTTTTTAATGGTACTATGTTCTCTGAGCCAGATGGTTTATTCATGGAAATAAAAAGAATGCCAGAGAATTTTTAGAAGCTTGGTATTTAGTTCAGTCAGTAATCAACAGACATATTGACACTGACCTAATCTACCAGCCAATAGGAAACAACAAAAGGTCAAATTTTAGGTCATCAAAACAGCCGGTCAAAATGAGTGTTGAGACAGTGACAGGACCCTGTCAGAAAGAACCAATTACACGCAAGGCCATCAGGACACGCTACTAAATAAGTTGTTCAGAAAACCTTTTAGCTCACTTCTTTCTGAAGTTTGCGCTGATGATGTTATCTAGTATGACATCAAAAGCTCCATGAATGAACCATCCAGCTCAGAGAACACAACACTAAAAAGTATCCTCTTGAACTCTAAGTGTCCGTCATCTCATCTATCAGTCCTTGGTATGTACTTGCTTGCGCCCATGCATGTCAACTAATACGTCCATCAATTAGTGAGTATCGCATTGTTTTCTTCAGACTGTAATTGTATGCTCATTATGTTGGAAAGCATATAAACTCCTTATTTATTGCTTTTTGTAGATTTCCAAAGAGTTATTCTCTCGAACCAGTTTGTTATCCTTACTGTACTCATCCTTAATCATAGATCCGTAACCTTACCATCTTCACTTTCTTTTCAAACAATTAAAGATTTCCATAAAATTGATAAGAAGCAACTATCTGAACGAAGAATATTCTTTTCAACAAATTCTCTTCAGATTCTACAACGATACAATGCATTTGTACATCGCGAAATCAAGCCATGTTAGGGGCAAATAAATTTTCAAAATGAGATTTAGGGATTGTAAATCGATATTTTTAAAATTTGTCATTATTGAGATGACGCATTACAGATGAATGATATGGCAGTGAACAAAAAGATAACGAATAAAAAGATAGGGTTGGCCTTTAGTTTACTGAAGGCTAAGGGAGAAGTAAGGCTTGGATATGTTCTTTCTGAATACAGAGTTTAGGTTTGATCAGTCTTATTGTGACAGCCATCAATATGTTGAGCAGGCGTTGGCGTGTTGTTTTTGGAATACGATGAATGACCTTGAAAGCTTTGTTAGCATCCATGTAATGCCTTTTGTCGACTAGACGCTCCAGGACTGACGTTTTCACCACCTTAACTTCACCCTTTCCGATCCAAGCTGGTGAATGCTCTCGTATCCTGAGACACCTAATCGTACTCCCTATGTGATGCATTTAAGGTGAAGAGCTGAGATTGGGTAGGCTATCCTTTGGTCTTGGATTGAGTACTGGCCGACTACTGAATGGTATACAAAATCGATCTGCATAAATTATCCTATTGACTGCTCTAGATAGGCGTTGTTAGAATGTCACTTGCAGTGTCTCCTCTGATTTGTAAGCTCAGAAATAATGTTTTTTTTCCGCATTATTTTTTATTGGTCTTGGCACAAAATTTTTAACCTGTCTGTTACGGGCTTGAACCCCGTCTTACCTACTGTGGCTTAAGCAATCAGGTATTATCATCGTCTTTCACACAGAGGATATGGTTTTTTTCTCACTACTTAGTATGCCTTTTCCCCAAGTGCGGAATTTTCTCTCTGGCTTGACATGTTAGTAATCAAGCCTCAATAACAGAGGGACGTTAGGTTTTGTTATCGTTAGTATTTGTTAGCAAGGTGTATTTGTAATTTTTCAGGAATCCCATTATCTTTCGTAGATTCAAACCTGCATCAATCAGAGTCAGGGTCCGTTGCCTTACTCCTGAGCTGTTTAGCCGATAACTGATTCATATAATAAATGCTGTCGTGCATGAATTGATCACTGAGAAGAAAGATGATGTGGTTTTTAGGTTGTGTTATGATTGAATTGTCTGAATTTTTTATGAAATTATAGTTTTTGGATTTCCTTCGTTTTTAACTATTTCTCAGCTCACTGATAACACCATAGTCTTTAATTTCTCTAAACTCTCAACGTGTTACTAACATGTAATGTAATTGGCACTACTAATAATTTGACTTTTAGTTTGTTTCTATTGTCTTCAATGACATCAAAGTAAATTCATTTTAGTCCTGAAATCTACTGCATTTTTCTTTTAAATATACTAGTGTGCATATAAAGTTTGCAGATAAGTCTAAATCATATCCTTAATAGTCTGTATTGAAAAGTGTTTCCTTGGTTTTTTGAATGACAACACATACTGCCATTATTTTTAAAAGCTAAAGAACTTTTGATAGTGATATCCAGCCATACTCAGATGATTCTTAATCAATGAATGTTTGGTAGATTATAAGTGCTCATAACGATGTTTACTTCCAAACTCGCTTATATATATATATATATATATATATATATATATATATATATATATATATATATATATATATATAGTGTAAAAGCAACTAATATGGAGCTGTGGGTGATTGGTTTAGTCACTGGACTTCCAAGCGATGGGTCACGCGTTCGAGCTCCCCTGCACCTACTGAGGTCTTAGAAGCCAGATTGTATCACTAGATTTGGTTCATTACCCACTATACGAACATGCACGTGCTTGCTGAGTGGATTTCGAGAAACAGCTAGTGAGGACAAAATATATTGAAATTTCAGCTAACTCAAGAATCTGACATATCTTCAACTAACTAGTGACCTTCAATTCCTTCAGTTCTGCTGAATTTATAAATCTGGATTTCTTTTCTTTAGAACTAAATAGTTGCAAGGCATGTAAATATTATTGTTACTTTATGATTATTGGAACAGAAACGTGAAAGAGAAAGGGCACCAGAAAATGCTCCACACAAAACTACATGACACCACTACGAGGACATAAAGCTAAGTTAAAAGGATGAAAATAAAACAGTAAAAATAGAATGATTATAAGGACTGTCCAGTGAGGTGGAAATGATTTCACTTCTTGAATGACGGTCTCCATCATGCCCAAGCACACGATTTCGTACTTCAGGATTACTTACATAGTGTTGCTACCGGATACGAGCAATCCTACAGAGATAACGATGGTCGGTTACACAGAGTCGTCGCACATGCTCAGCGCGGAGAAGCCAGATTTCGCACGCGTAGAGCAGAACTGCTCGCACTGAAGCGTTGTAAACCCAACCGTTTACGGTCAGGCTGATGTCGCGACGGCGCCAAAAGTGATCCAGCTTAGCGTATGCCTCTCTGGCTTTCAATATGCTGTTGTAAATTTCACCACTCACACAACCACCCAGATATACGGAGTTTTTGACTGTATCCAACAGCTCACCACAGTGGGTGAGCGCGAGTACCGCAATCGAGGCGTCTTTCAAGATTGTTTATTGGCTTACCATCTACCTCACAGACCGTCTCACTGACACCTGACTTCTTGCTGCCAGTGGCTCAAAGGAGGCGGAACAGCTTCCGACTACTGCCAAATGCAGCTGCTGCTTCCACCTCACTCGCGCCATTTACACGAGCTATTGTACTCGCTTTCCATAGGAATAGTCCGAAGGGCGTTAAAAAGTTGCAGAGAGCTCGCAGAGACATTGTGTTTATTAGTGTGACGTCCTTCGAAATGCGAGCGGCTTTACTCGCCATTTTCATGGCGTCTTGAAAGTGCAGCCAATGCTCATCTACTTTTCTGGAGGATCAGTAGCTAGCCTTAAATCCAGCTTGGATTGGTATTTAGGTGCAAGTAACTTGCTTATGTCGACCTGTTCAAGACGATGGTTTTGATGATCTTTTGTTGATTGTCTTACATTAGATCCACTTGGGTAGTTTTTCCTTAGTTATTATAAAGGAAACGAATCACTTCTACTAATTTGAAACAGTTAGTCCCCTTCTGTGAACTTGAATTGAGTAATTAGATGTAGGTTATCTGAAAAATGTGGTATATTTGCGCTACACAGTTGAAACAGTCTGATGGATCACATGTTTACTTGTCATGCAGCATTTAATATGGAAATTGGAGAAAGAAAAATATAACATTAAGCAATTTAATAATAAGGAAGATAATGAAGGGAGAATGATAAGATTTGAAGATAACTTACTAAGCCTTTCTCATCATTTCATGTTAATTTGTTTGTTTGATATTTCACAGTGGAGCAGTATTACTTACTGGATAAATAAATGAATGTTAATTCTATTTCGTCGTGTGAAGTATACAGCAGACAAATTGTGGATTAACACAGTACCAAAGGTTTACTCTTACATTAGTGAGCCTTCCTCATTTTGATTGTAGTGGATAGTGGAGGACTAATTAGTTACTACCTCAAAATGATCTCAGTTGATAAACTGCTGAAGCAGGAAAAAGAATTATATATCTATATCTTGACGTTTGCATATGACTTACCTTCTATTCCGTGTAAGATTATCATTGTAATAGACTTAAGAATGTCTCTTTCATCTAGAAGTATAGCTTATGGTGATCCCGTTAAGATACAAACCGACTATTTAAAACCATTTAGCAAATAAACTTCGAGAGCACTATATCAGTTATCTAAACATTTCTTTCTGTACTTTCTCTGTTTCATTCACTTAGAACATTTCTGAACTATGGTACTTTTTTTTGAAAATTACAATATCATTGTTATGTTTGTAACTTCTCTTCTGTCGAATTTTTTTTGCTATATCCAGCGACATTTTCTTCGGGATGAATTTCTTGGGCGTATCAATGAAATAGTTTATTTCCTACCATTTTCAACATCGGAATTGACAGAACTAGTCAATCGTAGCTTAAATAGCTGGAGTGAAAAGGTTGGTTATATACTAGAGTTTTAAGTGATGTCTTCTGTACCTTTCCAGCCATTTAATAGTTAACTGTATAATAGTACGTAATTTTTGACTATGTAATTCACAACAAACCTGTTTTGTGGAAAGTAGTGAAAATAAATAGGTCAAACATGAATAGTAATTGAAATCTATCAGTACGTCTCAAAATAATAACAGTTACATTGTCATTTTTTTTACTGTATAAATTTATCGTCAATAAACCAAAGAAAAACCTCGCCTGGTCAACTAGTTCACTAGTTACTAGCCGGTTTTAAGCCCAGGTAAAGAGGGAAGGTTGGGCATAGGGCTAGGAACCCTACCCCGTAAACCAAATCTAACCGCTAAAGAAACTTCAAAGCACAAACGATATATAAAAAATAATAACAAAATTATTCCTGGCTGGAATCGGAGAGGCGAAATGACTCCGGTTGGTGAAAGCATTCGGGAAGCCAATTGGCCGATGTGTCTTCTCTTGATGAAAGCGAAAGTAAACGTGGGGACATGGAATGTCCGCACCATGTTTGAACCCAGTAAGGCAGCCCAGATTGCAAACGAGATGAGGGAGTATCACATTGAAGTGCTTGGAATTTGCGAAAGCAGATGGAATGGGAGTGGACTCTCCAAACTGTCAACTGGAGAGTCAGTTTTCTACTCCGTTATTGTCACCCAGTTGACAACCGCGAACGAGCACATTGAGTTTTGGAGTGCCTATCATGATGTTTCCAAGAGCATCGGAGGCCCTCATACAGTGGGAACCAGTCTCCTGCAGGATTATGATAACAAGGTTCAACTCAAAAGGAAGGAAGGTCACAATCATACAATGCTACACTGTGCACCTACAAATAATGCAGGCGCAGAAAAAGAGAAGGATAAATTCTACAGACAACTACAATCAGTACTGGACATGACCTTAGTTGGTGATGTCAAAATTCTAATGGGCGACATGAATGCCAAACTCGGAGCAGACAACACAGAAAGAGAACTAACCATGGGTCGAGAAGCGCTAGGTGAAATAAACGAGAATGGAGAATTGTTTGCTGAATTTTGTGCATTCAACGATTTGGTGATTCCAGTGAGGCAGTGTGTTCAGGCACAAAGATATCCACAAAGCGACATGGATCTCACCAGATGTCAGGACACACTAAAAATCAGATCGACTTTATCTCAATCTCAAGAAAATGGGGACGCAGTTTACTTGACACAAGGTCAAGAAGAGGAGCAGATGTAGGTTCACACGACTCAATATCTAGTGCAAGGAACCTTTTAAATCAAGTTGAAAGCCTTCAATTCAAGGAAGCTGGTGATAGACCGCAGTTCATGTACAACACTTGTAAACTGAAGGACGAAACTACAAAGGAAATCTTCACGTCAGCCATCAAGACAAAATGTGAGATATCGAGGGACATCCCTGAAGGAACCTGTGTGGAAGAACACTGGAAGTCTTTGAAAGAGATGTGGAAAGAAAACTGCACAACCGTATTAGGAAAGAAGAAGAAAGAAGACAAGGAATGGATCTCGACGGATACCTGAAAGCTGATAGAGGAGAGGAGGATGGTGAAGTGGAAGATAAACCAGTGCAAGGATGCACAAAGAGAAGAGGAACTGAGTACAATGTAAAGAACACTACACTGGACAAAGAAGTGAAGGAGAGTGCACGCAAAGACAAAAGACACTTCTACGAAACACTGGCAAGTGAAGCAGAACAGGCTGCCGGCTGGTAGGAGAGACAGAGACCTGACAACATTGTATCTAAAAACCAGGCTGCTATCTGGGAAGAGATCAACGCAGGTGAAACCAATAAAAGATGATGACGGAAATTTAATTACGAAAGAAGAGAAACAAAGGAAACAATGGGCTGACCACTGCAAGAAGCTCTTGAATCGATCACCACCTACACTTCGTCTATAAATACCACCTACAGCCGCTGAACTACAACTGAACATAAATCCTCCAACAAAGGTGGAAGTCCTGAACGCCATAAAGCTACTGAAATGTGGGAAAGCAGCAGGACCAGATGGAATCCCGCCAGAAGCACTGAGAACAGATGCAGAGACAACAGAGGACATGCTCACACCACTATTGCAGAAGGTGTGGAAGGAAGAGAAGGTACCTGGCGATTGGAAGAAGGGTTACCTTGTCAAACTGCCAAAGAAGGGAGACCTCAGTGTTTGCAAGAACTGGCGCGGAATCATTCTCCTGTCCACCCCAAGCAAAATATTAAGCCACGTCATCCTGGAGAGGCTAAAGGATGCACTGGATTCAAAACTACGACCGGAACAGGTTGGCTGGCTGGATTCAGGAAGTACAAATCATGTGCGGACCAAATTGCAATGCCTCGCATCATCATAGAACAGAGTATAGAATGGTAATCAGCTCTCTACCTCAACTTTATCGACTTTGAGAAGGCCTTTGACAGCGTCGACCGACAAGTAATTTGGCAGTTGCTTCAACACTACGGAATACCACAAACCTTTATCAATCTCATTCAACAGCTAGCTATATGAAGACGCCACATGCCAAGTAATTCACAGTGGGAAGCTCAGTGATGCCTTTGAAGTGAAGATAGGAGTGAAACAAGGTTGCCTACTATCACGCATGATATTCCTGATTGTGGTGGACTGGATCATGCAACAAACAGTGGGGAGCGAGAAGAGAGGGATACGATAGACCGCGGAAAAGAACCTAGAAGACTTGGATTTCGCCAGTGATGACTTGTGTCTGATGTCACACAAACTTGAAGATCTACAGGCGAAAACTAACAAGTTGACAGAAGAGGCGTGGCAGCGAAGACGGGACGCCATTCAAGTGAATATAGAGAAGACAGAGGTGATGAAGATACCCAACCAACAACAACAAACTCTAATCACCATCAACGGGAGGAACTTGAAGGAAGTAGCCTTCTTCACCTATCTAGGAAGCACTGTTTCAACTACACGCGGTGGCACAGACGAGGATGTCAAAGTCAGAATCGGAAAAGCAAGACAGGCGTTCATTAGCCTGAAACCAGTGTGGAGATCTTCTGCACTCAGCATGCGGAACAAGATCCGGATTTTCAACACCAACCCAGTCAAGTCAGTGCTTCTGTATGGCTCAGAGACTTGGCGCGTTACGAAAAGCATTTCCAACAAACTACAGACATTCATCAACAACTGCCTACGCTGACTCGATACTGAAGATCAGTTGAGATGGCCAAAAGGAATAAGCAAGAAGGAACTCTGGGAACGAACCAACCAAGAAGCTATCACCCAACAAATATGCACTGGAAGGAAGTGTAGATGGATTGGGCATACACTGAGAAGGCCGACTGGGTGACATCACGCATCAGACCCTCGAGTGGAACCGGGATGGGAAGCGACGAGTTGGTCGTCCAAGTTAAGGGTGACATGGAGGAGATCGTGCTAGGAGGAAATGAGAGCTTGTGGGCTGTCGTGGAGCCAGGTTCAAAAGATTTCAGAGAAAAGAGTGGAATGGAGACGTGCTACTGAAGCCCTATGTTCCATTGAGAACCCAAGAGACTTATAATAATGGTAATAAAATAATAACCAAAGAAAAGGGATAAGCGAGATTATCTACCAGTGAGCTACTTTTAATAAGTTATTCAAAGATTAACCTTAGAAATACCTTTTAGGTTAATTTCTCCATACATATCAGGATTCCCCTTTCAACTCGTGAAACAGTTTCAATGCTGACATGGCAATAGTGGTCCTTAAATTGTGAAGCTATAGTTTGCACACTATCTTAGACATTCCACTTTCAGTCATCAGGTGTTGGTTTCAAAATCCATTCTATTTTTCGTCGAAGTTTTACCAACCAAATAGAATTACTCTCAGGTTTAACACACACACATATCGGCTCACACCCTAGTGCATTAACATGCACGTGATTGCTACATTTGCATACTTTCATTATGCACATTTAAATTCTGATATCGTTATCACATAATGTATATCACCTTATAAACAAATTAAATTGATTGAAAAAGATTAGAACGGTATCTAAGTTGTCAGATAAAAGTATAGAGTTGTATGTAGGGTAAGATCTTTTATTCCCGTAAAACTTTAGCTGCAAGGTTCTTGTATGTATAGGATTATCCTTAAAAGTCTACAATTCTTCCTTTTGATGAAAGTCGGGAAAGAAAATTTTAGTTTCAGTTTGTTTGAGAATTATTTATTAAGTAGAGTTTAGAATTTTTCATGCGCTAGATGTTTTTCTATTTATAGGAGTTTAACCGATGTATTTCAGTTGTGTTGTTTAAGTTTCCTAATTAAACAGTATGTTTTGGTAGTTACCAGTTTCAATTTCGTTTCTAAATCATTTGGTATTCAAGCTAATTAATATCTAAACTTTAAGATGTTTTCTCGACTAAATGTGACCACATTCTGTGTATCTAGGAATAAATTCACAAATTAGCTTGTTGTTAGCCATCTGATAGTTATCTTATAAATGCATAAAAATGCTCTCTTAAAAAGGTACAGTTAATTTATATGATTGTTAGTTGAATAATAGACTGAAGGAATATTCGTATTTCACAAGAGACAAAGGGTTTATTAATCGTGGACATGTTTAACAAATTTGCAAAAAGAAAGAAGTCACTGCTACTTTTGGCATGCATTGACAAGATGTATTGGACGAACTTGTTAAGCACCAACCAAATTTACAGATTTTACCATTAAAGTATTTTGTTATTATAGAAAATTATAATCTGTAAGCGTACATAACATTGTGTCACTTCTAGAAGCTCGATATCTGGATGATTATTAGTTAGTAGTTAATCTTTTTTGTTGAATCCATGTTTTTATTATTTCAAAGGTAGATTATTTTATCAGCTATCCTTCCTTTAGAAGTAAACAATTTTTGAGATGTCTTTTTGATTAGAATAATTTCACATCAGTGTTATTGCTTGTGGCTATCTTGGCTCGGTGATGTAGTGGATAACGCTCTCGCATTTAAAGCGACCGCTCTCGAGTCCGAGTCCCAGTGAGAACAACATCACTCACTGGGAGGCAGGTACATCCAGCTGACGAGTCCCAAATAGGACGAAATGCTCATCCTGGATTCCACTGCCAGCTAATGCCCATCATTACAATTTCACATCAGTTTTCAGATTTTAGTAATTGAAATTTCTACAAGCTTTTAATGGAAGTAATGAATATGTGGTGTACTGAAACTTGGATGACGAATTCTAATTTTGTTTTTCATTTGTTCTGTAACATTTGTAATAGCTGAATTTCTTAATAACCAGTTTAAATATATTCCCCATTTTTAATTTTGATATGTGGTACAACGGTAATGTTAAAAGTCAATCAGCAGAATGTTCTAGATCTAACTTTCATGCTTGTCTTGCAGGCACTCATTAGCGAAGCTCATCTGCATCTTGTATGAAATTGTTGTTCTGTTGGTATTCGAATATGTATCATGATGTTAGGTTCTGCACCATTAGGCCATGATTGATCGATAAACTTTGGTTGGAGCTGACCACTAAAGATTAGACGGCTGCATGGGTTACCGCGCTGGTGACTATTTCATGTACAATGTTAATTATTCATAGTTAGTACTGAAAATATCCCGATAGTCTTAGTACCGTCATAGGTTATTTTCTGGTTGGTCGACTTTTTGAAATAACAATCAATGTTTGGTACAGCCTTTGTGGTGCTGTTGCTAACATTTGTTTATAATTCACAATAATAACTGTCTCAGTAAATCAATATTTTTTGGTATTCATTCAGTTCTTTGTATAAATAATTTAACTGCATGAACTTAGTAACTTGTCCACATTGATGTACATTCTAGGCTCTGAAAAGACATTCACTTAATATAACATGGAGTCGTGAAGTTGTAGATTTAATTGTTGATGGATATGATGTTTATTACGGAGCACGTTCAATCAATTATGAAGTAAGACTTCTAAATTTATACTGTTTTTCTGTTGACCTTTAGTATACAACTTGTTTTGTGCATCTGTTTAATTTGTAATTACTTTTAAATATTGGTCACAAGTAAAGCTTTGTCAGGTAGAAAGGATTTTTCGTTGATATTTACCGATACACATGTACTCTGGAATCAAGAGAATGTTCGCTTTCCTACTGATGTGATATGCGTTGCAGTTTTACTTTCCCTTCACGATAAAATCTACTTGGACTGATGAGGTAAGATCGAGACCACTCTTTCAAAGTGCTCTCCTATAGACATGCATTCATAGTTTCTTCCAAAAAAAGTTCATATTTGCCACTTTGAAATGATGGAGGTGAGACGATAAAAGCGATTGTTTAGCATTTATTTCCGAATCATTACGAACGGAGGGCTCACGAATGGGAGTTGAAAAATACTGACTCTATACTAGTGGTAAATAAGGTCTTCAGGATCGAGGACGAACGAATGATATATGAAGCTATCTTAGTCATGGGAAGGCATGAACACCTAAACAGTAACTAATCACTCATATACACCAAATCGGAAAATTAAAACTGAAGATTTGAAGCTGAAAACCTTTTAATCAGCATATTATAGTTTTAGCCAGATCATTAGCGTAGAGTTCACTTATTCATAACCGGCAACTATTCAAAGCCTGACTGCACTAGTGATCAAAATAATCACTCTATATTTTGTACTTAAAAATAATGCTTTCATTCTCCATGATAGAGATTTTAGGGACAGGTTTTAGAACCAGATGAATTCATGGTGCGAAGAAATTACATGACGAGAATTGTAGGCATTAAAGCCTTTTACCACCATGCTGTAAAGTGTTTAAGAGCAAATATGGGAAGTTTGAAAAATCGTAATTGAAAGTAGCATATATTGTGGTAGCTACTTTACCGTGTTTATATCATACGTGAAGAATGAACTAATCAGGTATGATAAGTTGGGATAATTTGGAGAGTAAGTATAATACAATGGCTGGGTCATGTGTTATGCCTCTCTACTGAATGTTCGCCCCAGCAGCCAATGTTATTCGAATTAAGATCCGATTTGAAGATAGTTGCAAGTGACCAGATCAAGATGCCACTAATTTATAAAGTCTCTGACTTTTGATTTGAGCCATTTAAACTATCGAGATAGCACCCCTAAAGCCGTAAGAATCAATGGGTGAAGATTATCGGTAGCGCTTACAATGTCATATAATTATTACCTATTTTTATAACCTTCGGAATTGCGAGTATTCTGGTATCATCTCACTTCTCGTTATGTGATGTTGCGAAATATGGTAACTTGAAACAATGTACTTTTGTGCAAGTTCTTACGTTAATTCGTCTTATTGTCCGTGAAATCACTTCTTAACATCAGTGTGATGTTCTAGACACAGTTTACTGTTTTCGTCATTGAGGAAGAGCATTTAACTCTGGACCGTATTGACAAAGTTGTTTTCAACAGCTTACTAATGGTTATGTTCAGAATTTAGTATCATTCTATGAAGCTTTCATAACCAAATATATATTACGCAATAATATTTGAAATTGCAGGCAGTACTTGGTTGCTTCATACACTTTTATTTTATTGCCGTTTTATGAAGACCATAAAACACAAGAATGATTCATGCATTAAAGGTAGTTTAACATCATACCTTGATACTACATAGAAAAACTAATGTAAAAAAAATGTGAAGTACTTTATAAGTCGACACCTGTGATGATCACGGTCTTTCTCTTGAGATGTTCTCTTTTTGTAGATGATATAAATTCCTGTATCCTAACTAACATTGCTGTCATCAAGTTTGTATGTTGTCTTCTTTTTTTCTTATTCACAGATTGAACGTAGGATAATAAGTCTTCTCGCTCTAGCTGATGAACAGGGATATCTACATCCTGGTTGCAATGTTAATATTAGTGTCAGTCATAAAAGTGTTAAAGATGAGGCTTGGTCATTAAAAAAATCAAACGATGATAACTCTAATTCATCAGAAACCTCTCCACCACGTATAGTACTTAACGTTACTAACCCAAAAGGTAAATCAAGGCAGGTTCTTGACTTAACACAGACTGCTGTCTCTTGGGCATAAGTATTTCGCAATAATATTATAAGTACAACAGCATATTTCTACATACTGGTTCATTTTTTAACTATATCAGTTTTACTAATCAATACTGTTCCCTTATATTTTAAAAAATAGTGTACATTTCTTTGAAGTAAAGTTACTCCTTGTTGTTAGTTTTGCAGTTGAAAGGGCACTCCATTACAGGATTGATTGTTACTTTTTTTAAGATCAATTTTATAACTGATTTTCCTAAGGGTGTTTCACAAAAAATGTACTTTACACCTGCTATGTGGGTGATGGCGCTTCAAACTGCGGTATTTTTGTATTCACTCTTAAAAATGTATATCATCACCCAGTATCAACACTAGTCTGCTAAACTACGGCATATAGTCTAGTTCAGTTAGATTTGGAATGGAATGAGAAGTCTTGACTGGGAAGCTAGCGTGAGTACGATCAAGCGATAGTAATGCGTCACGAATTCACATGATAGTCGGGCTAAACCCCTGGTGATTGAGGTGAAATAAAAATCTATTCAGCAGTCGGACCTTGTAGTTCAGTTGGTAGCCCACTGGGCCGGAAACTCAGTAGTCGCCTGTTCGAATCCAGTCGCGGTCATCATTCAGTCAGTATCAATGCTAGTCTGCCAAACTATGGCTATCTCAGATAGTCAAAATGATAAAAAATGCATATCCCTATTTTCTAATCTTAGTCTGCCCGTAACGTCGTATGCATGGATATGAGAATGTCGAAACCTGAACTGCTAATTCATTGGTTAAAACTGTATTTAGAAAATTTCCATTTTACTCTCCGAGAAATAAAATAACATACTAACAACTTTAGATCTAGTCGCGGTTTTATGCAGTTAGTTTTATCATCACCTCATTGCTGTGAATACCTCTTCCTAAAGGAGTTCACATATTTAACCGTATACAAAGTAAATTTAATGTGGTGCACAAACTTGACCTGACTTACAGTTCTTGCATGTATGTGTTGGGCAAACAGTTGTTTGAAGCTCCACTTCGTCCGCTAGGCTTAAAATTCAAATTCACAAGAGGAATTGTTTGTTTCAGCTTTTCGAATAGTAGACTCCCCTGACCATTGCTAGACGGTTAAATTAAACTGTTTAACTTAAAGTGCATTTCAAAAGAAAGTGCAGTTTTTGAAAATTTGTATTTAAGTCACATTTTTTTCGAAACGGTTTTATAAGAAATTTGTCATCCTTCTGAACTATCACTTACGATTTGATAACTTAGTCGGATACAAAGCTGCAATCGGGAATTAATCAGAGTAATTGAACATTTATGCATTTTGATCTTACTCTAAATCTCCTTATGAAGTTCAGCTTTCGTCATTGTCATTAGGTCAAAAAAGCAAACAAAAAAAGACAAGTTGGTCATCACTTAAGTTGATGTCCGCTTATTTTATAGACAAGTAGGGGACTTGACCTTTGGGTGCATGAGAGGAAACCCTTTTTCTCGGTCTTGATTTCTTTTATTCCCCTCCCTTACACAAAATTAGCATATTTGGCCATCGATGTCTAATTTAAAAGTCTATGTAGTAAATTAAATCCGCCTGTTATCCATAACCCAAAGTAGTGACTGAAGAACATTCCGGGTTGGAAACTCTTCTGGACTTTGGAAGAAGTACCGAATAAATCTGATATAACAGTCCTCTAGATCTTCAGGAAACCGGGCATCAGTGTGAACACAGAATGCGGCTATGAAAACAGTAGTGATGACGATAGAACCATGGCGAATTTCTCGTCAAGTATTAGAAAATTGAATGGTAATCTCTCATCTAGTTGGAACCCTTAGTTTGACTGTAATCAGTTACACATGATTAAATTGATTGTTTTTTTTGGGTTCTGAGTTTCCAAATCAATACAGCTTACTTAAGGTTCATCCATAAAAATTACGATCTATACCATACCAATCCTGAATAAATGTTTTTTGAAAGGTTCATTTGAACCCATCGAACGTGTGATAATACTTTTCCTGCTAAAATAAATTTCACATTTGAGGGTGAAACTTTTGACAATGGAACTGCACTATCATGAAAAGACTTCGTTGACCGTTGTCTTGTGGTTTTCATATCACATCACAAATTATGGCTGGTAATGTGATCGACAACAGTACTCTTCATAAAGAGAAAGATATGACCTGATTATTGAGAAGATTGATACCTTAAAACGACATACATCATCACGTGAATAACAGTCAACTGTTGCTTTGGGATATAACCCTATATTAGAAGGCAAATAACTTGATAAAACTGTCGATGTGTAACAAAAGTACTTGTGCACGTCAGCATTTGGTTTTTAACAGCTTTTCTCAAGCGCAAAACAAGTAATACTAATCGAATTCGAAGTGGTCACCATTGGTTAACTGATGTAGCTGTCTATTCCTTAGCACTGATCAAAGTTTATCGATCAGGTTTTGCAATGGGGCCACTAACTGAAGTGATGTGACATCTCGGTGCACTGTTTTTTTGGTGTAAATTAATAGGAGTCTATCGGCATGAAACTATGAACCTAGGTCATCCGCAAGGGTTGTCTGCAAGAATGAGGAACCTGGCATTCCCAGTGATTCGAACCTATACTTCTCAGTAGTGAAGTAAGTGGCCTGAAGATCAAGATATTCATCTCTGACTCCAACACTGAGTGCTGCAGGTTCATATCAACAAGATAACACCAGTTTTCATATGCTTGCAGGTACACCTTGCTGATGAGTGTGAAAAAGCATGAAACCTAGGTTTAGGATTTCTTGCCGATTGGCTCCTAACATATCACACTGATTGAACTATCTACTTAATAAGGTACAGCGTACATCGATAAAGTTTGTTAGGCACAACAGCAATCAAAACACACTAAGAAATGCTTTTACGTTATACGACCATATAAGTATGTCAATCGAATAGTATAAATTTGAAATGAATGCTAATTCTTAAAATGTAATTCATAAATAAACTCACCCTTGTCGTGTAAACAGAAACACATCTCAATACCATAAAACAAACACGTCAAGTTCTACTGCATTTAAAAGTGTGTGCAAATCAGTACGGACATGCTTAACTATTCAGTTGAGAGTAAAGTGGTATGTGCCATTTTAGTCTCAAAACAGTTAGACACCGCAAGCAACAGATAATCATATTTATTCATAGCCAGACATATCACTGAAACAGGTCACGGGACCAATTTCGAAACATATTTTAATAAGATTCAAAAAACAGCAAATGCCTAAGTTATTCAGTCATATTTACATTTGAAACCCTTCCTTTATTTGTTCAAAGACAATCCGTTCTACACAACCTAACTTGGTGACCATAATTTCATTTTAAATACTGCAAGTGACGTATCTTCTTATTGTTGCAATTGTTTTCTTTACACATGAAACACGTCTTGACTGATAGATGTATGATCATTCGGAATTTAAATGCTAAAATACATCACATTTTTCAGGTAAACTTCTAATTACGAAATAAAAACTTATAGAAAAGACTGGATGGGGTTAAACCAAAGAACACTGTTTATTGACGTTGACAATTTTGTTTCTTGTTCACTTCTTATGCAGTGTAACTTAGAGTGAAGCATGCATTCACTTCACACTTACCGATGAAAAATAACCCGGACACTTTGTTAATCCGCATACTTTACTTTTATTCCATTTAATTATTGAATTCAGATGTAAGGTATTAACAACATAGGTAGGCAGCTTAGCTAAAACTATGCCTGATGTGGTAAATCTTGGAACCACTCAATTTAAAACTAAATAGCAGTTCACCCTAAATCAGAACCTTTCGCAATTGTATGCATTATTTTGAGTTTCTCCCTTCACAAGTAAGTGAAATGATCAACGCACTCAACCACTTCGCCGCATATTGTCAGACAGGACAACAATGAACACCAGTTCTGAAGCAACAATTTGGATTTTGGTGGCGAGAAAAGCATCCTAAACGTTCTCAAATTGCCACTCAAGGTGTCCAGAAGACTGCATCTTTTCAGGGCCTTCGCCTAACAGGGCTGTGTCATATGCGTATTCTAGATCTACCGAGGAATTCCCTGTGATAAGATCCATCTCTGTAAAGTAAGATGATAAGGAGACCACCATAGTTATGCCTAAGACAAAATTGAATAAGAATAGAGAGGGCCCACTTGCCTAACAGACACCATTCATCAAAGGCTCTGACATGCCTACGGGTGTTTGGGTTTTGAACCTATCTCAGGGTAATATACTTACCCGGCACACCTTTCAGCGAGAGACACTGAAGTTAGACCTCTAGGTCGGCGGAGTCGAATGATACTCTACGGTCGAGAAATACAATTAGTGTTGGGCGTTGATAAGTGTGGCTGTGTTCCAGAACCTGGCGGTGTGGATATCAGGTCGATACACCCACGGCCAGGTCTGAGGCTTGCCTAGTTTTCTCGGGTTCGCCGTTCCTGATCTGCACTTGGACGTCTAGTGATTATAGAACATAGAATCTTAGACATTATGGTCGTCAGGCAGATTCCCCGATGTTTATCACAGGAGAACTTCTCAGCCTGCCTAAAGACTAGGACAATCAGTAATTGACAGAAGTCACAGGGGATCATATCTGACTCGAATATACTAGTTAACAGTCCAGTAACTTTGCCCAGTAGTTCTCTACCACCGTCTTTAATTACTGTTGGCACCAGTCTTTCAGGCCCTGGTGCTCTTCTTTTCAAGGTACCTACAGCTTCCTTGACTTTTGTCAACGTGGTCGTGTCTCGAAGTTCCATTCATAATCCGACTGGGTAGTGGGCAACGAAAGTGGCTGTATGCCAGTTGGACTGTCTCACCCATCGTTTCAGTCGTCTCTTCTGTGAGGGAATCATAGACGCATCGTTCTCCGCAGCAGTCTCACCAACCATTGACATTAGCGCCCCAGTTTTCTTAATAGGTTTAAGTAACTGTACTGTTACCTACCACCGCTACCTTTTCTAACTCTAGCGTTTACTGCTTACCACTGTCCAAGATCATTGCGTAGACTTTTTGTCAGTCTACATTTGAGTTGTTTCCGCTCGGGAGCTGTAGGGATGTGTTTGTGTGCATCCATTAACTCAACTTGATGAGATCCGCGGGGCTTCTTTAAACACTCTCTGGGAGTCGGCTACTGTTCTTACAGAAAAAATAGATGTGCACCAAGCTTCTTCTAGATGAATGATATTGTTCCGCTGCGAGCCAGTTTCACTGAAAGCAGCCTTAGTGGTCTCATTGTTGAGAATCATTCACGACGATCTTGCTGTAGTTGTTTTCCTACGTCCACTCAAACGTAGACATACACATACTCAAATCAAAGCGTGCTCGCTGTCCAAACATGTGCTCCAGAAGGATCGGCAATGCGCCACCGACCCTCTCCAGCAATAACTGAAAGCGATGCGTCCACCACGGAGTTGAGATCAGTAGAAGCCAGATAACATAATGTCTCTTTATTCCTGAAGTTTGTGCTGGCCAGAAATAAATGGTTGCTCGAGCACAGCTGCACCAGGCGATCACCGTTATTCATTTGTTCTGCTTGGATTCCGAAATGGCTACTCGAGTGCCTTTTTGATTAGCTTAGGCTACCCGCTTGTGCATTAAAACCACCTGCAACGACAACTACGTCTGAGAGCCTTGGCTTTCAATAGGAGGCTAGACAGTTCGGTAGAACTCATCCAAACTACAGTAAGTGAGTGCGTAATCTGGAATTACAAAGAGACAATAGCGAGTCTCACTTTTCTTTTCAGGCTGTGAAGTTGTGGCCCATTGGTTTAGGAAATTGACTTTTGAGCAATGGGTCGCGGTTTCTAGCACCGCTCTTCCTACCGAAGTTTGATCAGCCAGGTGGTATCATTAGCCCTCAAGCAATAGGCGTGGCTCATTGTCTAGTGTATGAATTTGCAAGAGGTTGCTGGGTGGATTCCGCCCCATATTAGTACCCATTGTACCGTTCAGTCGAACAGCAAACATGCGACTGCTGTCTAGAATCCTATCCATCAGTGCACTTTCTGCTTCTGCACTTAGTGTTATACCTACACCTGCAATACCGCGAGAACTAGTCATCCAATCCCCAAAACCTCGAAGGGTGAACCTTGCAAAATTATCATATTGGTCGAGTGAAGTTAAGTAAATAAACCCAATTAGGTTCTGTATGCGTGCCCCAAACACATCCATGGCCTGAGATGCTAGAGTTTCGGCTAGCGAGGCTTGGGCGATTTGACGAGGGGTGTGAACATTAAGAGCTTCACTGTGTAGTCTCGAGAGCAGTTTCAGGGGACCAGTGGTGCTGTTCTGTGAACTCAGGTAGTTGTCAAGAGCTTGAAGAAATTAAAGGTGATGTAGGATTGTTGGCCGAGACATGAAAGATTAGAAGGTAAGGATATGAAAGGTAGACAGCGACCTGAGGGGACTTAAATGCTGATAGAGTTGTGAGGGCGGTTGATACTTCCCGACTGCCTACGACGTGGAAGGTTGACTCTCCCTGAGGTACCTGAAGAAGGAGAGTTACCACGCAAGTGCAGAGCCCAAGGAACATCTATTTGAGGCTGATCACATATTGCTATTTTAGAGGTTTGAGATTTTAGTTTGTTAGTTTTCTTCTTCGACTATGAACCCAGATCGCCGGCATTGCTATGCCACAGGGCAGACGGGAGTGTGCCGACCTTTTCTATTACCCCCCTCCCATAAGGAGAGCATCAGCGTACAACTGCTGATTATCCAAGAGAAACATCTCACTGCTGTCACAGCTACCAACACAACTTCGCTGTCTGGTCGTAAAACAAGTACTCTATAAAAGTAACTGCTTTTCGTTTAATCACTACCCAACGGACCTTTCTGGTGTGATAGAATCCCGAGGGTAAAAACGTTCTACCAGCATAGCTCACTGGGTCATTGTGATATCCAAACCTAATCGCTTCACCAAGGTAGCAGTTAACGGTCGGGCTGACTAGGGGGATCCAAGATGACAGGACAATGGAGCATCTGCATCACTGTAGTCAGTTTTGGCACCTCAAGTTTCTGAGAGTCGATTCTGTTATTCAACAAGACACCAACCAGTGAGCCTGCGCTGCGTAGACTCGCAATTACAGCCTTTATTAATTAGTTCCATGCTTTCGTCTGGTTAACATCGGCAGTTCTTAAACCTTATCTTGCTCCAGTTAGTATAGCGTATAACTTTTTAAATGACGTGTGGTTCGCGATAACTAATATTGCCTGGTTTTCCTTTAAGAATGATCTAATTATTGCACTGTGATTGTCTAACTTTCATCTTGTAAATTTAATAACAAAGTAAAAGATTTTAGATACTGTTGAAAATATGTGAACAAACTAAGAGAAAAGGCATTCTTTGGTCACAGTACAAACTTCGTTAATGTCGCAAAATGAATGCCGTAAAATATTCAGTGCAGTCTTTAGAAAAGAAAGCAAACACAAACATCATTATGAAATTATTGCAAACCGTAGGTTACCGTTGTTGATAAAAGTCAGCACAAATTAAAAGTATGATGACAGAAAAAGACATTTTTATTTTATACATTTGAAGTTGTAAGTTATCGGAGATCTTCAGAGAAATGTTCCACAGTATCGTCAAATATCACATGTTTGCTTTGTTCATATAATGGAAGGTTGGTAGAATGTGGATGAAAACCTGTTTTTTTACATTTTGACAAAAATGATACACCATGATCAGGAGTTAAAGAAAAACATTGTATATCATCAAATTTAGGAGCACATACAATAGCAATAGCTTCGGGAAGCAGAGCCTGATAGGAAAGTTGACAGTGTAAGTCAACAGCTGATAAAAATGCAGTTTGCGTAGGATGCGTATGAATCCAACCCAATGTAATCAGCTGCCTTCTATCCAAATAATCAAACACTTCTTCTTCTTTGTATGTAACACAGGTGTCCGAAGTACCGCTTTGTTTGGGAATTAGGAGGTTTGTAATGTAGAAATTGCCATTAACTAATTTCCCACAGAGAGTGCCGCAGGTCTCTCGATTTTCCCTGGTGTTTTTAGCAGCCAGACTTAAGAAGTCACTTATTAAACGTCGAGATAAGTATGTTTTGGTCAAACTACAATGGGTTGTGTAGCTATTGTAAAACGATGTGGGGAGCTGTTCAGCAGGACCGACGACTGTATTATTATCTGAAACTAGTGTTCCATTGCATGAAGATGAATTAGGCAGAGAAAGTTTAGAAGAATCAGAATCGCAGTTGAAAAATGGTGTCACTAATCCATTAGTTTCTTTTCTAAAATTGCATATATCTAGTGATTTTTTTTGACTTTCGTATTCATCAGAGTACTTTTTCTTTAAATCATCTTTTGAAATCTCAGCAGACTTTAATAATAATTTACCAAGACTTGTAAGTTCGTTTTGAACACGTGGATCTAATTTTTGATAACCTCTATGAGTGGGCAACTCTCGAATACACAAAACAGCTCTTAAAGCCAATATATATGCTTTTTCTACTTGTTCTGCTTCTGAGTACTGAACAGATAAACGAAACATTGATCGAATGAACCGTGCATAGTGGTTAACATCGATATTTTGTATGATAGTGAAGTCCTCTGCAGAACGAAATAAAGCGTCTAAACGTTCTTTGGGGGTTTGGATCATATTTGGATAAGTCACTCAGCTCGGATTTTGATACGGATAAAAGCTTAACCCGAAAGACATTTATTTAGAAGTTTTCTTTGTGCTGATCACTGTAGCTATAAAAAGAAATGTAAATAGGTGTTCTAATTTAGATAATATAACCATTAAAAATTTTTTAAAACACTAACGCATATGTACCACCAAATAAGAAAGGTTTCATAGAATATTCTTTTCTTACTGCTGAAATAACGCAGACAGTATAACTTCCTTTGTGAAGATCATCTTATCGATTGAGTTCTGATATCTTGTCTCAAATTATATTCACGATATTTCAGCGTACAATAACTATGCTTCATAAAGTGTAGTTACTAACTTATTCCATACCTCTGTTTGAGCAGTCAGTGATAAACTGCTCGACAGAATAGTACAACCGGAACTCGTTATACTACATACTACTACATACATACTACATATATCCATCATATCATCACCTACTGTCCTCAACCATTTCAATTTACTAACAACCCTCTAAGCTTCAGTGAGCATTAAGTGCTCAGTTTTAACATCTAATCGATATTGTGATTAACCACAAACTTAAGTGTTGCTGGAGGCGAGCTGAACTAACCAGTCACTTCGATCTTCTCTCTTATAAGTGAATCACTAACTCACTTCTCTCAGTTATGATCTTCCTAACTTTCATTTTTTTTCATTTCATTACCGTCAATATATCCGAACGACTACTTATCACTCCTTATCATAAATACACCATAGGTTTGAACCTCCCTTCACACACACCTAGGTTTGAGCAGTTAGATAGTATCAAAGCCATCCTATAATAGGTGTTTCATTGTATAGTGTACGCGATTGCTAAATTACATCTCATCCAATCACTTTCTATCACTACTTTTTTCATCTATTTCGATTTCTCTGCTTACAATCTTAGCGTATGCTCTTTTTCATTCTACATATGGGTTATTTCTTCCCTTCATTTTGCTTTAAACTTGCTGGAATTCACCAAGCGAAACTTTCGAGATCCATCAACATTTTCTAACCTCTCGATAAGTTACTTAGTTTCTACGGTTTTCTTTACAGCAGACTAGAGTAAAGATGCCTTATACAGCCACTGACGTGACTGGTTTATCTTTCACTACATACATGATATATTACATCCAAGTTGATCTCGAAGATGTTTTCTGCATCAACCAGAGCGTAAACAGGCATGGTCGTTGCTCACGAACTATAGTTATTCTCGATTCTGACTTTATATGGGATGGATCTACTTGCAAGGGATTCATTGGTCGGACTAGAGTACGCAAGCAACTGAATTCTATCAGCAGAGGACGCTGACATGTGAAATTATCTGAATACTTTGTGTTATGAATATAACAGAACCCACAAGCACCCAATCAGTAAAAGGATTTATAAAGTCCTTAATGACCAATTCATTGATTGATGAGATCTTGAAAGGCGTCTACTTAGATATTTTGTAACTATTGCAGCAACTTTAGTGGGTTTGTAATACTCCTTGGCAATCATGGGACCTGATGAGATGGCAGAACTCAGTGGTTTCCCAACTATTAGCTTGTAATCTCGACAGCTTCGTAACTGATTATCAAGACACTTAAGTTAAGTAGTTTAACACAGAACGCATACCAAACTCAATCTCCTCATAATAAGGGGCGGTAAACTTGTTGAAATTAAGAGTATTGTATTGGGCGTTGCTGATAAGAATGGATATAAGTAGTATGTATTGAGACGGTGGCAGAAATCACAGGGAATCACCAGCAAAAGTAACAACGATGAAGTTTACAGTTTACTCTACTAAGCTACTGTGTTAAGAGGAAGCAGACTTGTTCTTGTGTAGGTGGCCATCATGCTGAATAACTATTTCGATGACCTGATGAGGTGATAAGTTTTTTAATGGAATACTAAATCATCATTATCAACATAGGACCAGGCATTACTGCGTAACGGTCCGAGTTGCCACACCTCATATCAGCACATCAAGTAAAAAGGTAGTGAGGTGAAGGATGAAGATAAGTGAATGCAGTCAAAAGAAATATAAAGTACGAGAAGAAAGGAAAGAGGAGTGACAAAATAGTGAGATTCGGTATAGCGTTGTTAAGATGAGGATAATGTGTGTATACATCTGCGCCACTGACTTTGGTTCTGAGCCATATCACCTAGGGTCTCCAACCACTGGTTCCTCTTGTCCCATGGACCCCAACCAATGGAATACTAAAACGTTGGCATGTCTAGACTGCCAACTCTACCGTAAACAATTTTTTTAAACAATACGGTGAAGTGCTACTCTAGTGTAAGTTCTGTTCTCGAAAAGCGGGACACTTTGTCACCTAAACAGGGGATCGATCTCACTGAATCCCAAAGTGATAATTTGTACCCATGTAGAATTAGTGCATCTGTTTTCAAACCGCAAGCCAGCTATTCTCATATTTCACCTCGAACGTTCAAAAGACTCTAAACAATTTAAGTCTCAATTTATTGGAGTTCATTTGGTGATGTAAACAGAAGAACATTTCGTTAAAAGGTGGGAATAAAACTAGTTAGTCTTCGGTAAAAATTTGTATACAGTCATATCACAAGTAAATAAAAACTCATTGAGGCAACAATTCATTGTTTAGTCATGAATAACTGGATAGCATAGTTTTTCAATATTGTTCTTGTTAAGAAGAAGTTGGTCCTGTTTCTCGCATGTGGTAAGTAACTGAAGTAGTTTTTATTTCCCAGTTTAAAAAAAATCATATGAAGGAATATTTAAATTGTAGTTAAAAAACCTGAAAATTTATACACACTAAATTAAATCACTTACATATGTGGTGAATTTAAAGCTGTTGTACTTCAAATGCATATGAACAACCGGATGTGGTAATCGAATACACATTTGCTTTCATACCATAATTCGCATTTTCCTACTCGTCAGTCCAAGGAAGGTCACGAGAACCTGTCAAGAAAACTATTGAAAAGTGGTTTTGATAGAAGGAAACGAATACTAAAAATAACAATCTAATCAACGATTTTCGTTTGATAACCAGTCAAACATTCACATGAATATGGACCCTCAATAACTACTTTACTAATAGAAAACCAATTTTACTTAAGATTTTTGGTAACTTTTTCAGGAAGTTTGTGGTACCAAATGACACCTACAATAAATAACTGGACCAAAGCCTTGTTTCTTCTTAGATAAGGCTGAAAATTACTTTAGTATTGGATTGAAAGTTGTATTATTCAGCCCAGAGGATGTGGAACAACTAAAAAAATGCATTCATCTTTCATGAGTTATCTTCTTTTCATCAATGTCCTGTTAAATACTGTAAAATTTGTAACATCCTGTCACTTATTGGAAATTATACACGTCTGAATACAATTATAATACAGTTTAGTAATCACGTACATCTTTGTGCACTAGACAGGGTATGCAAAAGATATGAAGGAGCGATGACCTAAACGAAAGCCAAAACCGAAATGCACTGAGCAAGCACGCTCGTCCAGTAGGAGATGAGCTCCATCTATTGTGTGAGGACTGATAATACTAACTGGCTGCCAAGACTCCGTAGGGAGGTAGTGCTGGAACCCATGACCCATCGGCTGGAAGTCGATTGTGTACGACCACTGAGTGTGAACCTCAGTTCACTGGTCAGTATATGAATGCCTAAACCAACAAGTTGCGTCCCTGCTTCAGGTAGTATGGAATTAATGGTAATGAGTTAAAATAACGACTAAAAAAATGAGACGAAGTTATTATCAAACATATCTTTAAGAATAGCTTAAACTTTGTATGAGTGTGATCGTCGGGGCGTTGATCTTCCAGCAGTTACGTAAAAAACATGGGTTTTTATAATACTTTACACACCTGACTCGCGAAAAATACTTTACTTATGGTTAAATTAATGAAAAAGCTGATCAGACATTTACACTAACAAATCCTTGAAGTCTGTCACATGAACTCAGGCCAAAAGTTGTTGTAACTATAGGTACTAAAGCTGTCCTATGAGTCGCTGTAGAGAGTTGCGCTGTGTAATTGTCTTTTAAAGACAGGATTACGTTGAATTCTCGAAAACCTAGTATAATTAATACTCCAGGCAAAATGACAGTGCACAACTTTTTAGTGTTCCAAGTCAGTCACGAGCTAGTATTCTGCTATTTTTTTCATTCCACTTCAAACTTGCAGTCTGTTGTATTTTTGAGATACTTAGCGTTAAGTATGCGTTCCAAATGAGGATGAAAATTTTTTATGATAGGATTGAATACGGGTCCTAAAGAGGATTTCAGGCAAATGAGTCAGTAAGATAATAGGAAAGAAGCAGAATGGCACCTGAGTTGCTAGCAATGATGGAGAGATACACTCAAATAACACTCGATTACTTATTTATCGGAGTTTACCGTACGGTTAAATAATGAAAGAATACGTACTGTCGACTACGATGACCGACTTTACATCACAAGAAGCTATGCAAAACTTAACAATTAGTAACACTGACAGGTAATATTTCAGGGGGATTCCTTAAAACCACCCTTCTGTCGACACCAAATGTTACTGAGTGAAATCAGTTGTTCTCATTTGAAAGTGTGACTGCGTCAGACGCATAAACCTTTGTAGGAGGAAAATGCTGCATAATACTAGGGATTTGGAACATAAATTATCACACCGCTCTACTTCAAACGAAAATTAGAGACCAACAGCGCAAAACGATGATCTCATTTCAACATGTACCACTTAAAAAGAAATCCTTCTAAGAATACCCACAAACCAATAGCTTCTACAGACTTGCAACGGGCGGGAAGTGGCGTTAGTAAGAGACCGATTTCGTGGTGTAAACAAAAGATCAGCAGGCATTTTTTCAACACTTGGTCCTATGTAAGCTTGACGAAAGCGGTTATAGAGCAGTGTATAACATATGATTGCACACTATTCTCAATCCAATATTATTGGATACACGAACAAATAAACGTAAAACGTGGTACAGGGGTGCATCACTTCAGGTTGTTACACTTTACAGCGGGAAATAATGGAGAAATGGATACAAAATGAATGACGCCGAAGTGGACAATAATGTATGTGAAAGTATGTGAATAAGTACATAAACTTCAGTGAAAACGTTCAATATCTCGGGAACAACAGACAGTGAGTACACAGAGACCACGTAACCAAGGCTCCTCAAACGTTGAGTCCTATCTTCTCAAATACCCCAAGCAGTCTACAACTCTTTATACGGTCGACTATTAGTCGGAAACTTGACTGTCTGGTGTTTTCATGAATCGAATCACCACCCTTGTTTGATACTTTGCATTTAACCTTAGAACTGCCCACATGGTGGGACCGCTACATGCAAACGATGCTACGAGGGCACCAGTAGTCAAAACCTGTGACTTATTGGTTCGAACCCTGCCCTTCTTACTGTGTCCTGGGCAACCAGGTAGTATCATAAGCTCTCATACAATACCACTCAGGGCCTACTACATAAAAATGTGCTGAATTTGGAGTACTTTACATTTCATTTTAGTCCTATTCTTTTCAGCGCCTATATCTCCAAATGTGCGATAGGAGAGGGAGAACAGGAACGCAGTGCACCCATCCTTAGATATGTATTCAGATATTTTGCCAGCAAAAGAGATGCCACAAGCTAGCGGATGCTAGACAGGCCGTTTGTATCCGAGCTGAGACTTCGTCGGCAACCAACCTACGTTGACTGATGCAACTTCCTGAATAAGAGAAGTGGTCAACACTTCTCATGCTTTTATTCCACTTCCCAACAAATAGATGCTACCCAGATGTGGTGGTCGGGCTTGCACATCAAAATGATTGAATGAGCTACACTGGCCAGAAGGTGTGTCCTCTTGCGATCCAGAAAGATCTTTTAGACAGTGGCAAGATGAAATGCAGTTACTGTCACAGTGAGATTGCGATAATCTTACGGGAGTCTGAGGGCGAAGTCGTACTGCTGGCTGGATGGAGTGAGATGTTTCTCATGGATGACCAGCAGCACCATACCGACGCTGCCTTCCTGGTGGGAAGGAAACAAGGTTCTAAAAAGGTTGACCCCCAAAAAGGCACAACTCTCCTCGCCTTGCAGTCTTCCTATGATAGCGGTGCGTTTCTTATATCCCGCGGCGGAACAAACTAATCGCAATCCCACAATCCTCAAAAGGCTCTGTGATAGATCTCAAGCATATGTCCCATAGGCTCTGTGGGAACAGTAATACTGTTTGCTTTCAGGTACGCTGCAGGAGCAACTTACATGGTGTGTGCGGCGGGTTAGTGTCAACTGACCACGCCACCCACCCACCCAACCCCATGATCTCATTGAACACAAACTATCCTCATTGCATATTCTTCCCTTTGCCTACACCTCCTGCTGCCAATATGAGTATTTACAACTTCCTCAACCTTTCACTTTGCGACCCTTGCAGAAGATCAAAGCCAGAGAAGAACCCCTCCCAGTCTCTTAAAAGCTCTCTCTTAGTTACATATTGGAGCTATCAATCTTCGAAGCCTACGACAAACCAGACTCTAGGGTTTTGATTGATGAATGTATGCTATGTTTTGAGACAAACAGAACCCAAGTGGAGTTATTCCCTCGGACGCACCTGGCTTATGTGGGGAATCTTTAGAACTCGTCTTATAAGTGTCCGGAGGCACAACGGTTAGCCCACGTGGACTCGTTGGTGTGGGTATGGCATTGGGTTGTAGAGAAGAAGGCACACTTTTTGACAGGAAACCAGTCAACATCTATCTGTATGCTGTCCGACCGAGTAGGTCTGTAAGAAATACGATCGTGCGACTAGCCGATGCCGATCCGTAATCTCCACTTACGTGCCAACCGACCGCAGTTTGGATGACTCAAACAATATATTCTATCAAAAGCTATCTATTTTGTTATATGAAGCAAAACGTACAGATATAGTCATAATATCAAGCAAATTTCAATCACAAGGAGGAAAGATGAGAAGTTCAGAATGGCACCAAGGGGGTATCTACGAGGTCCTATGACAAGGAAACGAGAACAGTGATGGTTCGTTGTACTATTGCTGTGACAGCCACCTGTTTTTAGACGGCGTCGATATCAAGCTTAAGGAGAGAAATGTAAATATATTTTCAGTCCACGAAGCGCCTAATAATGAAGAGGTTATTCAAGAGCAGCGATCCAAGTCTATTGATTTCTGGACTCAACCTATTACTTGAGAAAATACTTATAGGATCATTTGCGACCTGTCACAGAAAATGATCACTTAGAAAAGATGGTAACAATAATAATGTATTTCGAACAACAGATTATGTGAGCACGTGCCGTTTTTGCAAGCAATATCTGAATGTCGTTTTCGATGGGGCTGAGAAGATTTAAAAGGATAAATCGTCACAGTGTACATGGTCTACCAGCGAATGCAAATGTCCGGATACTTCTGGTCACAAATATTAGATAACAACCCTTTCGCTATACAACAGAAGTGAATGGTAACACAGGTATTGTCACTCAGCGTGAGCAGTGACCCCGCAATAGTGAATAGGCTTCATGTTTTATAATGGAATTTACCAGGTCAAAGTGAGTGGCTTGTCATGATAGCGAATCTGTACAGCAAAGAAATACACATGCATTCCCAGTACTACAAGCAGCTATTAGTGAAAAGGTTATTCAAGTGTTGTGATTCAAGTTTTTATTGACCTCTGGAGTCAATCCATTAGTTGAGTGGCCAACCATTCTAAAACCTTATATTACTGTCAGTAAAATGAATAACCGCCAAATAAATCTACTGCACAACACCATCAAGTGGTCAAGCACACTCATTCAGAAGGTTAGGTACTAATTGTACAGTATTAATATTATAACTAAAAATCGGTTTGCATCTGCTCGTATATCGTACTATGTATGACTTACACGAATAACGCTAAATAAGTATATGTCCAAAATTCCGCTTGGTTCATTGGCTTGGTTTCACGACTATCCTATTGCAGAGAAACCGCATATTCACGTTTTCACAAAACTCAGGATCCTTGCTTTTGGTGGCGATTTCACGTACAGATCTAAGCATGCGGTCGTTATAGTTTAGTTTGAGATCTACTTCTCATTCATAATCACAATATCTGGCATTTTCTCGCCAACATCTGTTGGGGAACCTGGTTTGGATGATTCTGTTGGTGTTAGGAATTTATATGCGGTGCGCTTGAAAGTATGTTACTTTTGAAAGTGATTTCATGCCCGTATTACAACCCTCTTACTAACGTTGGTATAAACTTACTGAAGATTCCAAATGGCTTGCTACACATCAAGTGTCAAACTAGATACGGTTAAGGAACTTTAAAATGCATGGACATAATTATCTGCAGAACAGTGTAGCAACAATATTCAAGTGTTGGTGACACCGAAAACAGGTTCCCCTAACAACAGCATAAATGAATTGGCTTACACTCTGGCTATACCCAAGAGAAAAATCACCAGGTTAGCCAAGTCGGTCAGCGCCATTGATAATATAAACAATTCTGTAGGTCAGAAATTTAGTAGGACCACAACACCAAATCCTGCAGCAGATGTAAAACTTGAATGAAGCCCCGTGCCTTTTGTGAGACGAACTAGACTTCAGTCCTATGTGTGACATTGTCATTCCTCTCAGAAATCGAAAGCATGAAGTTCTCTGTGTAGTAACTAAGGTCAGAAATACGTGACCCAAAGGACTACAAACAGAACAACGCAATATTAATATTTAAGGTACTAATATCATAACTAAATATAGAAGTTTTGTATCCGTTCGTATAATGTGTTACGTGTATGATACCTGAAACAGTAACTGGGATCCCTGTAACGTACAAGTGAGAAGTAGCCGCTCATACATTTCAATATCTTTCGAACTCCATGTAGTAACATTAGTAATTGATGATATTCGGGTCCTATGTTTATCCCACTTAAGTGCGTTCTAGGTTTGGAATAGTCACAGTTGTCTTCAGCATCAACATCAACATCAGTAGAGGAAACCTCTAGTTTTTGAGCTCTACCATCTAGGGTCTTGAGGCTCAGTTTTTTCTGCTCGGTTGTACTCCTTCGATGGTCGCAGATGTCTGTTCGTTTTCCTATTTATAGCTTTACAGTTGGTGACTGTCTTGTTGAAGGTAGCTTGGTTTTTTCGGGGGGTGGGTGGGTCAGAGGAGCTGCTTATTAGGTCAATCAACCGTTTGCATTTCCTGCTGTTGTATGCACCTGCAAGTAAGTGTTAAGCGTTACTTAAGCAGCGATCGAAACGGGGTCATTTGGAGGAGTCGATTGATATAGCTGAGGCCACTTCCCTTTGCAGGCCGTTCCATAAGGCACATACTCTGTGGGAGAAGTCAGATATCACTCTCGTCTTTCGTCTATGGTGGTGGTGGTGGGGGGGGGGGTATGCGTATACGGTTCCCACGGAACTTTCGGTTTCGGAGCGATAACGTTGTCCCATTTGGGTGTCCTGCTTGGTGAATGATGTTGTAGGCTGTTATCAGGTCACCTCATTAACTTTGACAGCTAAGTGTGAGCAAGCTGAGTTGTCTGAGGCGTTGCGCGTACGTTTAGCCCGTTGGTCCGGCAACATACTTTGTCTTTCTTCTTTGTACCTTCTCGAGAGAATTTTCGTCTCTCTTTAGCACTGAGGAAGAGGCTATCGTGTTGATCACCTCTAGGTGTGGTCCAACATAGGTTGTAAGTACCATAAGAAATAATTCTGGGGCTAATGATCCAAGCTGCCTTCTCAGAAAGTGCATGATGGCGTTCACCTTTGCTGCTATTCTTTTATGACTGACGGTAGTATCCGGTGAGTCAAGAGGGTTTAGTCTTAGGTCCTTCTCTGTGGATACCTTGGTGATTGCGCACTTGTTAAAAGTGTAGCTGATTTTCATCGCCTCTGGCGTGCGAAGATACACCACTTTGCATTTCTCCAGGTTAAAGTTTGAACCAGAACTCCAGTCGCAACAAGCCGTTTTTGAGTGTGCTCAGGCTCTGTCTGCCACCCATCTTCCTCTGTGTTTTGATGTCGTCGGCAAATAGGGGAATAGATGACAAGATTCTTATGGGGAAGTCGTTTGCGAACAGTAAAAAGAGGAGCTGCCCAAGGATTGCTCCTCGAGAAACTCCTGTTTTACATCCTTCTAGGTTGGTCGAGCTCCGTTTACTGTAGTACAGAATTCGCTGTCCTCCAGGTATGCTGTAAACCATGCCAAGAGTGGTTCAGTGATACCCACTTCTGCAAGTTTGGCGAGCGTGGTGCAGTGTGGGACGCTACCGAAAGCTTTGACCAAGTCCAAGAAGATAACGTGAACTGGTTGTTTGTTGCCCCAAGCGGTCGTCAGGTTTGTGACACGTGACCACCCAATTCTGAAACCATACTGGGTGGGACGGAGGGTGTTACTTCCGTCCGGGTAGTCCCAAACAACATCTGCTACCAGGATTCCAGTACCCTGGAAAGTACGGGAAGCAAGGCTACTGGTCTGTAGCCACACAGATTTTTTCTGTCTTCTCCCCTGAAGATTAGTGGAAGAATGGCACGCTTCCATATGGGCACGCTTAACACTTCGCATAGTTGTGTAGGACCGCTGATCCTGGGTCATCACAGCCCGGTGACTTCCCTATTCTCAGTGTTGAAAGTTTAACATTCACTTGGTTTGACGAAATCTTTGCTTTCATCAGCTTTGTATCGGTCTAGTATCCGTCCAGCTTTGTATCGGACCTCATTACATTACTAGATGTTGATAGTGTATGTATTACTGGGTTGAATCGCTCGTCAAACCGGCCTCTATCTCACTACTGTCCACAGGTTTTCCGGACGGTTTAAACCCACATTCGTCTGTCTGCTTTGTGACATAAACCGATACAGACTTTTAGGATTGTAACTTAATTGTTTAGCCAGGTTGTTCTGGAATGTACATGTACGAGCCCTTATATTACATAAGTTGCGCAACGTCTTTTAGCCTCGAAAATCTGATTCTTTGCGTGATGCACGCCGCCGATGCCTTGCCCTCTTTTCCCTCTGTACTTGCGTTTGGGTTGCGCGAGTTACCCAAGACCTTTTGAGAGGTGGCCGTCTAGTCAGCTTCAGAACACTCTTATCGACAGTGCTCTGCATAATACTTTTGATATGTATCGAGTGTTCGTCTGTAGATAGCGGGTGCCATTCTTGTGGCTGTGGAGCCTCTGGGAATTCGCTGTTCATGAGATGGTAGCCTGCTTTTCGGTAACAGAGGAATGCTTCCAGTACTGGTACTGTCTCCTTGGTTATCAGAGAGAATCTCACCAGGGCGTGGTCGGTTTCATCCTAGGAGGGGGGTTAGACACATGTCGTCCACCAAAAGACCATCATCCGTTAGGACGTAGTCGAGTGGTGATGCCTTTCCATCTGGTCCCCATCTGATGTTTTCTCCAACCTTCTCTATCAGTCCTGCTGCCATAAAAGTATTTCGAAGTTTATGTACAAAAGATTTATGCCTATATCTTACTTTATATCCAGGGTTGAGTACTGGTGTGTTAAAGTCCCCAGCTAGGACTACATGGCCATAGGCTGCCGAGACGGTTGCTGAAATGGCACTGATCAGTTTCTCCTAATGCTGTTGTGCAAGGGTGAGGTCTATATGCCGATCCGGTTTGGGGAAACCTGAAAGCATTGAGGTTATCGATCAATAATTGGTCTTGTCTCAATGGTAGGATTATTTCCCCTGATCCGTAGATTACGGCAAGCTTTTCTAGTAAAGCTCACCGGTAACACAGGGCTCTGGATGTGCATCTGACCTTCTTTCTGGGAGTATCAGGGGAGGGTATTGTAACAACTGCTGGAGGAAGGAAGTTTAGCTATTGTAAACCACTTGATCTCTTCCCCCTAGCTTCTACGTTTTGCCAGTGTGTTCCAAGTCTTAGATGGATTCTGATGCTGTAGGTCTTCCCACCCTTGTGCTACAGCTCTGAATAGATTGACAGGCACCTGGGTATCTGTTAAGTTCCAAGGAATCGTATGATATTTCCAATGACTGTGGTGCAGATATGCTCCTCAAGCGTCATGCCACCAGACATTTGTTCGCACTGGTTGCAAAAAGAAGGTGGAAAGGAAGGGGATATCCGGCGAAATCATGCAGGAGGAAGAGTGAAACAAACAAGGTAAAAAGCGGAACGGATGGGAGTGAGCGGCCTAGATAGGTTCAGAAAAGACGAGAGCGATAAGTAGAACCTTATTAAATGGGGTGATGTCATTCTGTAAGAGGGGAGAGAAGGAGCACGTAAGATTATGCGACGGTATATAGGAACAGGTACAGCAATGTTATCAGTAGTGGTTAGGCAACCAGGGTTGACTTTTAACTCAGAATCATAAGGTTCATTTGAGTTTGCAGTGGCAGTGGTAGTTCAAACGATTTGGCATAGTATTGGGTGTACTGAATTGTGCAGAGTCAGCTGGTAGCATCCAACTGCCGGGTATCCCAGATGGACGAGCAATAACCATACGTCACTGCATGGCAGGCCCGCAGGCAGATGAAGTACTGGCGCACGCCGGTTTTCGTCCTTTGATAGGTGGTTCTCCTTGGATTACCATAAGGACCATTTCAGTGGCTGCTCGGTAGTCCTCCATCGTTCAAACGACTTGGAATACTTACTATTTCTCAGGCGGCCGTCGAGTCCCACGTAGCCTGAGACAACTAAGACAGCAGGGACCTAGGTGTTTCGGGCTGCCCTCATCGGGTTTTGCCTCATTCCAACACCCTTCTTTGTTCGCCACTCGACTTTCTGTGGGAGGTTCACATCTCTTGTCAGATATGGTGGCGCACCGGTGTTGTGAACCTACGGGTGAGGTTGTATGTAGGTGTTGCACCACCCAGCGGAGAGTTCGGAGTTAGGACACCTAGTTGTCTGAGTATAAAATGCAGTGCTGCGTGGGCTCTGGAGGCATCGCCTAGACAATCCGAGAGAGTGAAATTCCTCCTGAGTCGTGGGTGTGAAGGGACATATTTCGGCATTTATTCAGGCCAAATACTAGTCCGTTATTAGTCAACAACCTGCAAGCCATTTGAGATCACTCTACAGTGCACTGGACTCCATTTTGGATGTCAGAACTCCACACAACTCAATATCGTCAGCATAAAGTAAAATCGGGGATGTGATACTCAATGGGAGGGGAAAAAGAGCAGAAGCAGATTTAGAATCGCACCATGCGATACACCACATAACGTTGTTCTCCAAGTCGGGCAAACCGTGTTGGCTTTAACGTAGAATTCTCCGCCGTTTAAAATGTCCCGCGGCCAGACGAGCACTTGAATGTCTATATCTAACTTTTATATTTTGTCAACGAGAATCGCGTGCGAGACCGTTTCAAATGCCTTGATACAATGCTAGAACGTGATATGAATAAGGACTTCGAGGTCTCACCACGCTGTTCATTTTTCACTGGCTGCCAGAAGGTTTGTGGCGCAGAACGTATCCTTCCAGAAACAGTATTGAGCATCATTTGGTGCTCCCCTTTTGTCCAGGTACTTTCTGACATGTTTGCATACCAGACGGTCCACTATTTTCGAGGCACTGGTAAAAGTGTAGTGGGGTGATCGAACTCTGGGTTCTACCTTTCTACCCCTTTAAAGATGAGAGATAGAATTGCACGCCTCCACCCTCATGGAAGCATATGATCCTCAAAGGGGTGCTGAAACTGGTTATGGAGTGGACCGTATTGGGTAGCTGCACACTGTCTCAACACAGACGGCCGAATATCGTTTTTCTTTGGCGGAGCTACTCAGCTATTCAGGCTGAATTCTGTGCTACCCATTGCACTACCACTTGTACCAGCTATCTAGATGCCCGGAGCTAGAGGCACCATTAAGAATCCA